GATCCTGGGGTCCTGGGATCGAGCCCCACATCCGGCTCCCTGCTCAGCGGAGAGCCTGCTTCTCCCTCTCCCTCTGCCTGCCACTCTGCCTACTTGTGCTCTCTGTCAAATAAATAAAATCTTAAAAAAAAAAAAAAAAAGAATAATCTTAAACATCTTGGCTAGTCAACCTGAAACTAATGGAAATATATTCAGGATAGTCTGAAAGACACAGCCCATCTAGTCCTCTCCACAAACCACTTGATTCTTACTTGAAACCAGACCATCAGGATATGTTGTACTTTGGCACTGTGTCCTCGGCTCACGTGGAAGGATGTTCTTCCTAAAGACGACCACTTAGATCCTTTTTTTTTTAAATTAAGTATACCCTACCCCCAACGTGGGTCTAAAACTCAGAATCCCAAGATCAAGAGTCACATGCTCTACTGACTGAGCTGGCCAGGCACCTGACCACTTACATCTTTAAACAATTTTGCCCACCACAGCTCATGGGGCCAAGTGAAGAGCTCCACAATGTCAAGCTTCAGCATCAAAAAAAGCTAGATTTGCCATAAAGATCTACTGTTAAAAAAAAAAAATAACAAAAAACGTTTCAGGGGTGCTTGGGTAGCTCAGTCAGTTAAGCGTCCAACTCTTGATTTCAGCTCAGGTCATGATCTCAAGGTCATGAGATCAAGCCCCATGTTGGGATTCTTTCTCCCTCTCCCTCTGCCCCTCCTCCCATTCCCCCTCCCTTTTCTCTCTCTCTCAAACAAACAAACAAAACCTCAACCTTTTAAGCACTGCTAATCTTGTAATTCATTACATTCCTTCTCTAACACTAGAAAATGGACCAACATTTTAGTTCCAGCCCCACAGCCAAAAACCGTGCAGTTTTAAGGTATGCACTTTTATGGAGTGTGTGTTTGACCACCCTGTCCTTTTTTCCTTTTCTCAATGATTTACCACTTTTATCTCTCACTACTCTAAATGTATCTAAAGAAATGAGTTCAAATCCTTTTGAAAATTATGATGGGAAGAAACAAAATATAAAAAGCTCTCGTCATTGTATCCCTAGTTCTGGAACAGAGTCTAGTAAATGGTGTCAACAGGTATTTTGCTGAATTGAAAGAATAAAATTTACTTGGAAAGTATCTTAAACAGTTTGATCTGGTTTTACCAAAAAATGTGTTACTGTAAAGATGGGTATATTTCAAAATTCTCAAGCTGAAATGAACCTTAAAGGCATGAGAAGAAACGGTTTCCTACAGTAATACTATGGAGACTACTTTTATAACACAACACTTGTACAAAGTACATTAATTACTCCCTAACTTGTTTGTAAAAGGCAATCACCTATTCTGACTTACAAAAAGTAGAGTATACATAATTTACCAATATTAAACTAATAGTTACAAGATGTAAGAAACTTCATGGGAGGAAAAAAAAGCAATAAAATCATCTTACCGTGAACTTAATGCCCGGTTGTGAGTGAATTCCCAGTTGTTTAATTTCAAGTTTAGCCAACATACAAGATAATCGAGTAGGTGCAAATAACACAGAGATGTGAATGTCTTCTTCTGGACGCATTCTAATCTCACAGTTACTGGTTAGTCGTTCTTCTGAACCAAAAGTATGCTGAAGCTACAATTTAAAAACAATCACTGCATACAACAAAGGAGGAGCCCAAATAAAACTACCATCAACCCAAAGCTTCAAAGACGAAGACACAACGGTCTGCATATGTAAGTGGTCTAAAAGAACATGAAACAGCACCATGCACTCTACGAACCTGAAAGCAGTCCTGGTCTTGTCCTCTAATGAGCAGTCGCAGATGCTGGGTTGTAGATGTACAATTATTTCGTAAAGCTAGCTTCTGAAGCCTAGGAACAATTACACATTGTAAATGTAGTTTTCCTCTGTGGATATTGCTACAACTATAAAACCAAAGCCAATTAAAACTGACTGCAATGTTTAGAGATGGACTGGATTACATATGCCATTTTATTAGCAGCCTGGAAAGGTATCTCCACAGTCCTAGGATTCCACATTTCTGAAAACATACTCAAAACATATTCACCTTGTCAGAGAAACTCTTTGGTTTAATCATTCTCCTATTATAGCTCCTTAGCCGACCTTATTTATACTATACATATAAGTCTTATCTGTCTTGTAAAACAATCAAATGAAAATCCACATTAACAAATTCATTAAGTCTCTAAGTCAATACCATGCTTAGCTTGAATTCCTACCTTTCATGGCAACAAGGAGTCCCAGGCACATTGCTTAGATTTTTCACTCTAAGAGCCTCATTTGCACAAATTGGTCTTTTAAACGGTACACTGAATTAACCATACTTTTAAAAAAGTTATAATATGCAAGTACAATAGACTTATGAATAACAGCTGGCTGGTGGTAAAAAACAATCCTTCAATCTTTGAAAATATATGAATCCTATCTTCATTGGGAGAATAGGAAATCATGAGTAAATCTCCATTGTATTCAAATTCTGAATATTGACAGTTACATTATTTAAACTGTGGCCTATGTCTTGTCCAACTTGGGATAAAGGGGAAAGGTTGCTGAGCTTAACCTCAGAATAAAATGTAAGACCTCCGCTATCAGCAGACCCGGGAAAAGCATTCATAGGAACACTGACTGGGAAAGATTTACCGAAAAAATAATTCTTTAAAAGCTTTTATATTTTATCTGTTTTTAAAGAAATGTGGTTATCATTTTCAAGTAGTAGAGCTACCAATTTGGGTGGGGGGGGGTTCAGTTTCTAGTTTTAAAAAGGAACTATACAAAATAAAAAGGGTTAACTTCATTATTATTTGGGTCCACATAAATTAATAAGAAAAAAATACTAAAACCTAAGCAACAAATAGCCAAACTACATATGCAGACTTATGAGAAACTAGAATGAGTGAATGAATATATGGAAAAATGCAGAACTTCAAAAATCCAAAAACATCAGAATGAAGTACCACTTCATTTGGACCACTTTATCCTGAGAAAATATAATTTTAATTTATTAATTATCATTTCTATCTATAACTGAGGCAAAACCCATTACTCAATGACACGTCACATGTGACGTGTCCACTGCCCCCCCCACATTATATATTAATTTTTTCTTTACTCTAGAAGAGCTTACTTCAAATCTCCGTTTTTAAGAAGCACCTTCTTCCATAAAGACAGGCAGAGAATAGGCAAGTACCACATTGGAAGGGCACCTAGTAGGCACCAGCATCCCCCACCCTGTTTCTGAGTCCTCTCCCAGCATGCACTGGGTCACAGCCTCTGACTGTTTCATAGGACATTTTTAATGGACAGAAAATAGGAAGATCTCTTTATAAGCAGAGAGCACACCACTTTATCATAAACTCTGCTGCAACATCCTTACAAAGGAGTAGCACAAGATACTTGTTGCCAGGGTATACTGGAAAGTGATTTTCCTCTTCCTTTCACTTAGACATCAATGGCTGATCTGAACAGCTAAGTTATTTCAGCCACCTTCCAGAGCACAGAACTTCAAGGTCTCAATCACTATTTGTACATGTATTGGAGCAGACCACAAATCAATGTTTCCAGGAAAAATATGGCATATAGACACTGTTCAGGTTCAACTGTATAGAGCTGGAAAAACCTACACAGGAATATGCCTTTGTTCAGCCCTTCCTTTCAATGTGTATTCCATCCTAACTGGCTGCAAAAAGCTTAACTAACAACACAGGAGCTACTAAAGAGGGCACAATACCTCAAACCCCCTGCCATTCAGGATTTTTCAAAGGTCTAGCTGAGCGAATCTTTACTGAGAGCTGCTTAAAGGACACACAGCCCACCATTCTTCTAGGGGCCTAAGCTGTCTCAATCAAGCCACCACATGCTTCAGTACCCAGAAAACGCTATTAGCTGAGTGTTCACATGTGACGCGTCCAGACTGGACTGAGCACCTCAAAGGGGGAGCATCCTGATAGGAGTATTTACTGTGAAGTTGTCTTACTCTGAGACTCACTATATTGTATGGATTTCTCTTTAAAAGGACCCTGGAAGAAACATCTTTCTAAAGTCTGTAGCAGGAACAGCTATACTCGCTCACGCAGTAACTGGTTTGTTCTTAACCTTTGAACACTCTGACTTGTTTCAGGATGATGGGGGAAGAGTCAGAACCAAGCACAAGACCCACATCAAGGCAAGGGTACAGGGTCTACAGGTGAGCCTTTGGGCACTACCTTTATGGTGACCATGTCTCATTTTCCCACAGCAGTCAGCCCTCAACTGTTTTTATCTTACTGTGTCTTTCTGAAAACTGCTTTCAGAACAAGACAAGGTACATATGATTACATGGATGGTCAAGCAGATGTATGAACTCTATAAAGTAAGGAGGTTCAATCAGATTCTTTTTGCACTGACAAAACTATAATTTTAAAGAAGTACCTATAGTACAGATTCAGCCAGAAGTTTCTTATTGCTCAGGTGCCAAAGAAATGTATGGGTAAAACATTTAGGTCAAACACAAACACAAAAATGCAAAATAGAGGAAACACTGAGGTTTCATAACTACTAGATTATTAATTGGCATATTTGAGGTTGGCAAAAAAATTTTAGCTATGTTGCTAAGCTTATGAAGGGAAAAAATATTACCATACTATATATTATATGCCAATTTATTAACTCAGAGTTCATATTCAAAATGTATAATCAAAGTGCACATAAAAATAAGGTTCAAGATGTAATTCACATTAAACTATGACAGAACAGATCTGCTCTATTAAAGACTCCTTATACTCTTTAAAGTACAAGGTATTCACCAACTACTCTGTAAACTCCTTAAGCAGAATGCAAGGTGTCCGATTATTGTTTCTTCCCACCTTTCCATAGGGCTTTCCAGAGAAGGAACAGAGAAACTCTTAATTGCCTAAATTTGGTAATCAGCACAGAAAAGAGCCTAAGAAAACCTTAACTTATTTTTTTGGATTGCAGAGGTGAAAATTTTAACTAAAACAACCAAGTTCACGATGGGAACATAACACAGCTTTACTTCAACTCTGAAAACACTAACATGGTCCTAACTACCACACCAGAGACCAACTAGGTGATGACAGCAGAATCTTCACATCCAAAGGTTGCTACATGCATACTTACCGTGTTCTACCAAGAGGGACACCCCCCCAGGCCAGAAACTGCTTGTTGGACAACATCGATGGAGCAGCTAAGCAGCGAGAGCCAGGCGTCAGAGGTTTGTTTCCTGAAGAAACTACTTCACCTTTTAACACCACTTCATACTGAGGTCCAAATGGCTGCACAAATATTTTTAAGATCCTAAGAAAGAAAGCCATCTGAGGTGAATGTCCAGAATTCAGTTCTATTGGCATCTATTCCCCACAGGCTTCCTTTGTCCCAAGAGACTGAACTGGGCGCTGAGGATACAATGACATTCCCACCCTTAGAGCTTATATTACAAAGAAGAATACACACAAGGAAAGAGACAGTCATAATACCATCGACGTAACGGGAGAGGGGAAGTTCACGGGGCCACAGGAATCTTACCAACTACTATTTATGAGAAGTCTGGAAGGAGTTGAGAAAAGCTTCCTAGATGGAAGAGTTAACCCAGTGAAGTTGCGGGCACGCGTTCCAGGCACAAGTATTCGCATCGGTGCAGACCAGCTCTTGTCCGTAAAGTCACAGGAGCGGACTGAGCACACTAAGGCATTCTATAACCCAGGTGGAGGGCAGGCCATGTGTGTCTCAGGACACCATGCTTCTAAGCTCTGTTCACCAAGCAAGTTCAAATACTAATGACAACAGTGCTCTGACCACTTATGATTTGGGCACCAAAATGTTACAAGCCTGGAGAAGGGGTGGGGGTGGGGGGTGTGTGGGGAAGCATCTTAAACTTTAACAACTGGCAATGGCTTCCTTGGAGAGCGTGGAAAGGTTAATGAGAAACATCAAGATTGACATTTTATTATTGCTTTTGTCAGAATATACCTGAAAATAGTAATTTCTTAATTTCTAGTCAGCTGGGTTTAAAGGAGAGTTTTAGTAAACAAAAAGAAGAAAATCTGAGGCAAAAAGAGGTTAAACAGAGCTATATTATCTATTAGGTAAGATAAAACATGTACTCTATCACTCAAGCTGTGGACTGAAGCACACTGGCTATTTTGAGGGAAGAGTATAACTTGTTATTATAAATAATTTTATATTACCTTTCCTCACAGGCTTGGGAGTCCTTTGGAGTAAATGTGACTATAACTTCGCGTTCCTCTCCAGGTTTAAGGAATAGATTCTCTGGATCCACTGAAAAGTGACTTCCTTGATCTGGGATCTAAATATTTATACAATTATAACTAAATGCCAACTTAGGCAAATACGGCTCTTACTCAGTTACTCTCATTTTTCATTTACTCTGATAGGTTATTTTTCCCTTCTGCCTTGTCTGTCACTGCCCCACCTTGTCTTTTTCTCTTGGAAAGGGTACTTCCTCTTCCATAACAAACTTCATCTCCCATCCCATGACATCCCATGACATCCCCGTTGCTAATACCCTCCTGCTCACCCACACATCTCAGAAATAACGTCTACTATGTGATCACTCTCCTCCAATTCCACCTATCCACAGGATAACACACACATTTTTCAGGGACTAATCTAGAACTTGGTTCTTACACATAAAACATCAGAGGTCAAAGTTAAAGTACCCTACCATCTATTTCACACTAGTGTAACCCCCAGCTTTTAAAGCACTCACACAGGTTCTTCTGTTTGATCCCCATGGCACTCTGCCAAGGGAGGCAGCTGAGCAACCTTCAGAATGTGAGGAGATACTCAGAGTCTCACAGTCTGAGGAAATACTATGTCATAGCATTCTGACACAAATTCTTACCTTGATATCTAAGTAAACGTCAATATTCCCCGCATTTTTCAAAGGTAAGTGCTGCTTTGTTGAGGAAGCCATACTGGCAAACAAATGCATAGTCTAGAGGATGGGGTAAAACCAACATTTTAAATACTGTCACAATTAGAATGAAATCAACCTGAACATAAAATCGTGGCAAAGAGAAGAGTTTAGGGTACCTGTAAGTCTTTTGGAGCATGTATCCTAGCTATTCCTGTTCTTGCTTGAAGACCAATACTTTTAATGACTGGGGTAGGGTTTGGGCTATCAACTTCTATATCGACTCTTGCCAAGAACTCTTCTGCTGAATCTAAAATCTCTACAAAAGTTGATTCTTTTAGTTCAGAGACCAGAGAGTTATTTAATTCTAAATGCCTCAAGTGGCCCAACACTATACCCTCAGGGGTCACAAGAAATTCTAAGCAATTTAAAGAATTCAAAGAGGAATAGAAATGAGTGGAGGGGAAAGGAGAAAAAGAAAGAAAACATCCAACTGGTAGATGTGATAAAATCAGTGAACAGAAAAGATCCCAAAAGGTTTTCAGTGGTACTCGCTGGGGTTACCCAAACATGGGTTTGACCCAAAACAGCATGCATGCTCTCTGCCCCATTTTAAAAACAACACAAAATATTTGACAAATTACTCAAAGTATTCACATTTACTGATGGAGGAAATATGCCTCAACTTTGTGGTTTATTTAGCTACAGAGTAAAGCAATTCCCAAAAAACATATGTATGATACCTGAAGAAGTGATCTGTTTCTTTGGACCATGGAAAAGAACCCAAATTATCAGAAATTCTGGATCCTGTAAAATAAAATAAAATAAATTTATACTAGCATTAAGATTTAAGTCTTAATGAAAGATAAGTCGTGGGCGCCTGGGTAGCTCAGTTGGTTAAGCGACTGCCTTCGGCTCAGGTCATGATCCTGGAGTCCCAGGATCGAGTCCCACATCGGGCTCGGCAGGGAGTCTGCTTCTCCCTCTGACCCTCCCCCCTCTCATGTGCTCTCTCTCAAATAAATAAATAAAATCTTTAAAAAAAAAAAAAAGAAAGATAAGTCGTTTGGAAACCTACCTTCCTCTTCAATTCTAAGCAGTCCTTCAATCCCCCAGCTTACCTGCCCATCATAGCTAGCAGGCATCATGTGGTTGACCACAGAAGGAGCTGCCAGCTGAGCAATCACGTCAGCATATGGAGCTGCTTTCAAAGAAGCATGGACGGGTGCCTTGGAAAACGTGAAGCAGCGCCAGGCTATGGCATTCTGTTCAGAAATAGAAGAATCGGTTTCAATAAAGCCAACAGTACAATGTTGGTGTGATGTTAAATTTGTTGACAGAATCCTTAACAAAAAAATGTACTTCCAGAAGAAAAATTAATCAAGAATGATACTAGGAGTGTCTACAATTCCAAATCAATGTGCTCTGTAAAGTTTCTTACTGTATGTTAGTACTTACAGCACTAATAACAAGTCTGATTGGCACAGCGGCATGAGTCCTGTTTATCAATTTTAATGGCAGAGCTTTCCAGCCACCGTAAGTCAAGTCGCCAAAATCAAGAACATCTTTCTTTTCTGTTTCTACCTAATTATGAAAGAAAAGACTGATTTCTAAAAAGCAATAAATCAATAAATACCACAGCTTATATTCATATCACTGCTCTTTACAGCCAGAGTCAGCATTAAATGTAAATTTACCTGTTTCCCTAGACCATTTACAACTGCTATTTTCTACAAAAATAAATGTTAAATTCTTTTTTTGAGGTAGTCTATGTATCCAAATATAAACTAGAGAACAAAGCAATACATTTGTTGTTGCTACTCTGAAAAGACTGTTAGATCTTAAGACAAACTGACAATTTTATACAACATATAAGCTTCCTTTCAATGAGCTATGAGCTCTATTATTATACAATTTTAACTTCTCAATTCCCATCAAAATATATGTTGGCATTTTCAGATTTAGTCCAAATTTCTGACAAAACTGAAAATGTTTAAAATGATATCAAAACAGACATATCAAAAGTGTAAAATGAGTGCCTGTCATCGTGACAGATGACTTCTTTAAACACTGGAGAACAACCGAACACAGACCCCTCACACCCACACACGTAGAAATGTTGGATAATATTTAAAATATAGATACATTCCTTTAGCCTGGTCAAATATAAAAGGAAATCAAAAACAGACTGGCAAATGGGAGCTGACTTCCATGGTGGTCCATGAAAGTCTGTGATCAACCCATTCCTAAGGTAGCTGAGCTTCAACACCCTCCTGAGAAGAGAAGGTAGGACCCTGAGCTTGCTGTGGGCCGGGTGAGGCTGGAATGGAATTTGAAGTCCCTGCATCAAATGCAGAAATTCAAAGAAGTGCCCTTTTTATGAAAAGGGACCTGGAAAAATTCTTTTTACACATCTGAGGTGATAATAGGGAAGTTTGTCCAGAGATGGGTGGGTGTTAGAAGATCATTTGTAGGAAAGTAAAACCCCAGGGCTACACCACACTAGGCATGGGAGCTCCAAACTGAAAATCACTGAAACCTTTAGTGCCCTCAGCATTTATACAGAGTGCTCTCCATGGACACTCTGAAAAACCAGGACACATGGGATTTCTATATAGCAAAGAACAGCCTCCATGATGTTAACTCACATTTAAAAAATATAAATTATCAGGGATGCTTGCGTGGCTCAGTCGGTTAAGCGTCTGCCTTCGGCTCAGGTCATGATCCCAGGGTCCTGGGATCAAGTCCCGCATCAGGCTCCCTGCTCAGCAAGTAGCCTGCTTCTCCCTCTGCCTGCCGCTCCCCCTGCTTGTGCTCTCTCTCTCTCTCAATCTCTGACAGCTAAATAAATAAAATCTTTTAAAAAATAAATAAAAATAAAAAATTTAAATTGTCAATTCAAAAATTAGAAACCATATGAAGAAAGTAAGCAGGAAGACCTAGCAAAACTAGCAGAAGAAATCAGCACCTGAAGAACTGAAATAATCTGGATTAATTATAAAATAAGTAAATTTTAGGGGCGCCTGGGTAGCTCAGATGGTTAAGTGTCTGCCTTTGGCTCGGGTCATGATCCCAGGGTCCTGGGATCGAGCCCCACATCTGGCTCCTGGCTCAGCAAGGAGCCTGCTTCTCCCTCTCCCTCTGCCTCTCTCCCTGCTCATGGTCTCTCTCTCTATCTCTGTGTCTCAAATGAATAAATAAAATCTTAAAAAAAAAAAAAAAAGTACGTTTTAAATACAGATAATAGAGTTCGTGAAAAAGATAAAAATAGAAGATTCAAGAAAAGATGGTGAGCAAAAAAAAACGTATAAATAGCTTGATCAATCTGTTAAAAAAAGTTCAATGTTGGGGTTTTAAAACCATCTGGGACTAAAGTATTAGTCAAAGATATTACAGAAGGTAAAGATCAACACTATGACTGCCACTTTTTGAGTTGTTTGGGCTAGAAGCTTTTTGAGTTGTTTGGGCTAGAACAGAGCTCTTAACTAATTTTATACCTGAGTAACCAGTTTGAATAAAATGGGAAATAGAAATGTGTAACTTCCAAACTAATACAAAAGGATGAAAGAGAATTGTTACTTCATTTTTTTAAATTTATTTTTTTTTTTAAGATTTTATTTATTTATTTATTTGACAGAGAGAGACACAGCGAGAGAGGGAACACAAGCAGGGGGAGTGGGAGAGGGAGAAGCAGGCTTCCCGTGGAGCAGGGAGCCCGATGCGAGGCTTGATTCCAGGACTCTGGGATCATGACCTGAGCCGAAGGCAGCCGCTTAAGGACTGAGCCACCCAGGCGTCCCGAGAATTGTTACTTTAAAAAGGAACAATTTCACTTAGAAGATAAAATGATCTTGAGTCTAAACGCACATAACAACAGAGCTCAGAATACCCAAGACAAAAATCAATAGAAGAATCGTAAGGAGAAAGAGACAAATCCATAAACACCCCTCTCAGAGGCCAAAACACTAAGCACACAGAAACAGTAGTAATGATACAGAAGACTAGAACCACATAGTAATAAATCAGAGTTAAAGGATATGTGAAAGAATTCTGCACTCAAGAGAAAGAAGAGCCATTCTTTTCAAGCACACAAGAAACATTAACATAAATCGAACACATACTACACTATGGGTTCTCTCACTCCTTCTCCCCCTCCCCAACCCTTATTCTGAATCCAATGTGGGGGATGCGATGCAGAGAGGCAGCTGAAACATTTCCAACACGTCTGGAAATAATAAATGTACTTTAAGGGCACGTGGGTGGCTCAGTCAGTTAAGCATCCAACTCTTGGTTTCGGCTCAGGTCATGATCTCAGGGTCGTGAGATGAAGCCCCACATCAGGCTCTGCACTCAGCAGAGTCTACACCTGAGATTCTCTCCCTCTCCCTTCCTCCATCCCCCCACTCGTGCATGTGCTCTCTCTCTCTCTCTCTCTAAAAATAAAAATAAAATCTCAAAAAAAAAAATCCCCAAGAAACTATAAATATACTTTAAAATGCATAACCATCCAATTTCCCCAAGAAACGACCCAAAGTCTTCTTTGGCCAGACTTAATACATAAACCTTTAACAATATGGATGAAATAGCTAACTGACTATATTCACTGGTCTTGGTACACATATATGTAGTATGTAATACAAGATTTCAAAAACCATATACATTTAGAAATATTACCATTTCCACTTTCTATTTGAATCAATAGTTCAACAACTATTACTTGAGCCCCTACTATGCGCCAAGCACTATTCTGGAAGTGAACAAGAAACACCCGTCCTGCACCCCCAAACAGCTTACACTCTAGTGTAATGTGATGTGGTCACTGAACACTCATTTGTGTAACATAGGGCAGCTGTTCTTATTTTCCCTATATACATATACACAAGATTTCCCCTACCTAACCACTTACAGTATTGTTTCTTAAAGTGATATTTAAAAGGCTAATATGGGGCAGTTGGTGACTGGCTCAGTTGGTGGAGCATGAAACTCTTGAACTCAGGGGTTGTGAGTCTGAGCCCCACACTGGGTATAGAGATTACTTAAATAAATAAATCTTTAAAAAAAAGTTAAAAATAAAAAAATTTAAAAAGGCTAATATAACATCCAACGTTTACATACAGCACCAGGGATAAACACTGATCTAGTTACATTTCTTAGTTTCCTTTAAAATAAACAACCCAATATGTCTAGTGACTTCAGAACATCTCAAACTAACACCCATATCTAGCAAGTTTACCTGTGCTTCTGTAAAATAATAGAAATAATTTTAAATTCTAAAATAAGAAGATATTAAGAATCAATGGTTAGCGTGAAAGTAACTCTGTGGCATATTTACCCACATATTCATTTTTCTCAAGTATTACTTCTAAGGTTAAACAGCCTCCATTCAAATGCCAGGCATGACAAAGACCTGCTTAAAGTAGTTACCTCGATCACAGGGGTCTCGGCAACAGCCGTGAGAATGACTCGGCTTGCCAAGGCTTCTGCTTGTGCTATGGTCTCAGCATCCGCTGAAAATGGCCAAGAAGCAACACTGAATATACATCTGAAAATCCCAGGATCGGATGGTATGAAAAGTACTTTTATCTCTTCTGTGGCATGAGGTCTTACGATGACTTTATTCTTGAAGACTAAACAAGGATATACTGAAAGATCTACCTTTAAAAAAAAAAAAAAAGCCATACAGTTCATTAAGAAATGGCTTCACAAGGAAAATCAAGAATTAGGATCAACTAGTTTAAGATCCCTTTCTTCCTAAACTATCAACTCCAAAAATTTATTGCTCTTCCAAAATATCCAAGTCTTAGAACTCATTATCTATAAAGTACAATTAGCCAAAATTACGAAGACTTACAAAGCTAAGTTGAATGTGTGTCTGGTCTGTTTTAAAGTAAACACAGCTATCTACACTCTCACTTCCACTGAAAGAGCCCCTGGAAACAGTACTCTGGCACCCCACATGTCATCCAGGACGGGTTTTTGCGGCTGCACAATCAGGGGGATTAGACTGACCTCCAAGTTCCTAATCAGGCCTCCAAGTGCATGATTATGACTCACTTCAAACCCTCCCTCCTCACTGTACACAAGGGCATTCTTTTCTACTCCCACGTCCAGAGGCAACACTAGCTCCTAAATGCCCCTAAAAGGGCCTCCAAGCTCACCTCTCACCCTTAACGCTTTCCTCCAATCACATACTTTCCATCTAACCTCAGGATCAGAGAAGAAAGGCTAGGAAAAGGGCAGGGGGAGAGCAGACATAATCTTACTTTCCCAGGTAAATAAGGGTTATTACCAGGAGGTAAGAGGGAAAGTAAACTCATCCACCAACGCTCGTCTGCAAACTGCAGTGGTAAAACCAGGACATTCCAAGACAGGAGTTGCTGACCGTACTTCCCACCACCCTCCCTGCTCACTCGTGTCCACATAGGTCATTGTAACCATGAAAGGAGATTTAGAATAGTGTATTTTAGCACCTCTACCTGATCATGTGAGAGACCCTTGCTGTAAGAGTTAATGTTAAAATTGTATTTCCAGATATTTAAAAAGATCATGTAAGAACGTGATCAGATAAATTAGTCAAAAAGACTCCACTTACTGAATGAAGGTATAGGTCCTAAGAGTAACTTTTTTGATAAATGACAGTAACTTATATTCAATCACATTTAACAAAACCAACAAATAGTGGAAATCAGAGCTTTCAGTACACTGGATGGACTACAACAAAAGGGGGGGAGGCTAAGAAAAAGATATAATGTTATTTTCTCGTGTACCATTGCAATGATTCTGTGCGAAGATTGGGGGGACAGACTCCCCTGTACAAAAGGAAGTACTAGAGAGAGATCCAGCATTAGTCACAATGCGATTTCTAAGTCAAAGGAGAAAGACACAGAAAGCTTACCTTTTCACCATTAACACTAACGGTGAGAACCCCAATGCTGACCTGTAGCCAGCGGTCAGTTGGATTAAGCACACTGAGGAAGGTCTGTGAAGCAATGCCAACACAGCAAGCATGAGGAAACTTCAATTCCTCAGGTACTCTTACCTTCCCTGGGTAAAGAGAAAGCATGGTCAAATGCAAGTTATATCAAACACCTGATTAAAAGCACAAGTGGGTAAATGGAAATTTTTATAGAAGACTACCTGTGACACCCAAGACCTATGGTATGAAGTGCCCTGGGTCTTAAGGAGTCCTTGACATTGTATAAGCCTCAGCACAGGCCAACAATGTTTTTCTGTTGTATCCAGCCCAGGAAGAACACATGCAATTGATCAAACCCACAATCTGCAGCTAATTAATTCTTCGATGTTACTGCCTATTAGTAATCTCTTCCTTTTTTCTACCACAAATATAAGCCACTACCTAACCGAATAAGAAACTTACAGAGGGCTCTAACTTTCAAGGTTTGCACATCTACCCAGAATTTTTTAATAAGGCCGATCTTTTCACCATCCTTATGCAGTAACTTTGGAATTTCCTTGAGAAGAAAAAGAGGTTAGAGAAGACAGCATGCCAGCGGTCACGTGCACCGTGTCAGAGAAAGCACAGCACCCAGCTCTGCTTAGAGTGGCTGTATCTAGCAAAAGAATCCGGGGGCAGTTCAGCCACTGCAAATAAGGGTGGAAGGGTGCTGTCTCTCACAACTGTTATCCCCCAAAAGACTTTAAAAAGTGGAAGGAGACTCACTCCTCCAGGGAGCCAATTCTAAAAAACTGGGCGGTTCCTAGTTGACAGAATAATAGAAATCTAAGTGTAGAGTACAGGAGAGACAGGAAGACAAAGGCATCAGGGAGTTTCACCTGCATACTTATGTTTGTGTTTTTCTAAGGCCATGCCAGGGACCCTTGCACAGCAATATATTATGGTCTGTGTTCTCAATTTAGGAAAAAGAATAAAATTAAGAATAAAATTCACACCAACCAGTATCTCCTTGAAACAAACTTGTTTTGTGTCTCGCTTGAGAAAACTCAATTTTTAAATAATAGCAAGCAATAAACAGTAACAGAGAAAAAGCATCTTACCAAATCCTGACAGCATTCCTGAATCCCATGGTTCAGTTCCACAGTTTGTACCAACAGACTGCACAGGGAAAGGTTTTGCTGTACTTAGAAGATTCTGATTGAAGGCATTAGAATATGGGTTATAAAGGGAAGAGGGACCCATCAATCCAGAGCCGGTATTTTGTCCTAGACAAATTCCCATGGCCACAGAGTTGTGAACGTGCTCTCCTACGGCAGCAGGGTATGGACAGCTTCCCGAGGGTCCACAGACAGTGGCGCTGCCAGCTTGGCACTGAGGCAGAGCAGCATTTCCAGCTGAAGGTAGTGTTCCCAAATACTGCTGGGCAAAGGGGGCTGCGGTAAAAGAATGTTGAGTCCAGAGCGCAGGAAGTGCGGTGGGCACATTCTGCATCACAGGAGCAGAGCCCCAAGACACAGTGCTGGGAAGAGGGGCGCCCTGGTTCCCCGGGGCCATCCGCTGAGGAGTCTGGCCACTTACTGCACTGTCGGTAGTTAATGCAGCTCCAGAGGCTACTCTCTCACCTTTGTTCACAGATGCCTGGTGTGCCCCAGGCCGGTGTGGCATCGCTGACACAAGTGGGCAGGTGACGCCTGACTTGCTCAGTAGAGCCAGGCTGATCTGGTCCAACTCACTGGGGTGAGAGGTCAGTCCTACTGTACCGATTTCTGATAGGTCTCCACTCCTGGAGGAGAGATCTTTATTCAACCTAAAGTAAGGTTTTACATCTTCAGGTCTGCTACTCAGAGAAGTCATTTCAGTCACATTGTCTGTAGCTGAGTTTTTCTGATTATAGGACCGTGCTACTTTACTTCTACTTTGAAATGGACCTTTTTCTCTCAGTTTTTCCACAGCCTGTTCCTCTGATGGAATTGGACTGGCTTGAGTAATTGTGGTGCTCAATTCACTGGTGACATCACTCTGTGCGTGACAAAAAATGTTATATAATCCACAAACTATTACTAACGCAAACCATGCTGGTATAATCTCAAATAAAGAAGAGATCTACACATTAACTCTCTGAACAAAAGGCCAACTTTCTACAGCTGTGAAACGCAAGATTAAAAGTTGGAAAGTGTTAAGTTACTGCTTCACAGAAATTATGAGGAGATTAAAGAGGAGCTATATACCAATTACATCTCTGACAAATTTACACAGACAAAGGACCAGTGACAAGTACTTTCATTCAAATTTAAGGGATTGTTTTCCTGGAAGCTGTACAATAAAAATCTAATTAAATTAATAACACAGGCGTGGGGGCTGAGCAAGCTTTCAAATGAAATTGACACAAGGTCAGGAAGAATCAACACAGCTCATAGGCTTTCCCATGCCTGTTGTTTGTTTATACCGCTGTTAGGCTTGAAGATGCTAATTTCTATGAGCACTAAGTCTTTTCCAATGTCTAAGATTATGTGGTTCTGTTTTCTTAGGTAAGAAGTAACAGCCCATTCAATGTTCATATACTCATTTCATTATAAGGCATCACCTTAGGAGTGATGTCTACGCCCTGCAGGGTGGACCAATGGAATTTATATATAAGATGCACTTAAACGGACTATTCTCTACGCTTGGTTTGAAAACTTCTCTTAAACCAAATACAAATAGACATTAATAAACAAAGACCAGGTTATTTACCAGACATCATCAACCAATCAATCCACAAAAATAAATAACAGCCAGTTCGTATTCAGTGGTAACTTCTTGGTGCCAAGCCCTGTTCTCACGTCACTGTCCCTCCTTAGAGATGAAGAAACAGGCTTGGGGAAGTTATAGTCTATCTCAGAAAACAGCAGAAGATAGCCCATCTAACTCTACAACTCAGCCTGTAACCACTAGCTAAGAACAAAGAGACCCAACACTTACCAGCATCATCAAAAAGATGGCTTTCAATGATTTGTCCAATGTGACACCATATATATAGTAACTTTAGTGGATATATTTAGTAAGGGCTTGGTGGAGGAGGACTGTACTGAACACAACAGTCATATTCAGCTCATTAAAAAACTGAACACTGTCATATTCACAGAACACACACAAGTCTAGCTTCTCCCACATAAATCTCTCAGATCTACCTGCTTCTCTCCCACTCCCACTGCCACTACCTCAATCCAAGCCCAAACCATCTCTTGCCAGAGTACAGCAGCCTTGTGTCAAAGTCTCCTGGTTTTAATCTTGCCCCTGCTCAGTGCCTCCTCCACACTGCTAGTGCCACGAGCTTTTAAAACATCAACAAAGGGGCGCCTGGGTGGCTCAGTGGGTTAAGCGTCTGCCTTTGGCTCAGGTCCTGATCCCAGGGTTACTAGGCCGGAGCCCTGTGTCAGGCTCCTTGCTGAGTGGGAAGCCTGCTTCTCCCCTCCCTTTGCCCTGACCCCACCCCGGCTCATGCGCTCACTTCTCTCTCAAATAAATAAATAAAAAAAATAAAACATCAACACAGATCATGTCAGTGTCCTGCTTATGAGCCGCTGAACTCCCAAATTTTACATTCAAGACTCTTCATGGTTTGGCCTCTTCTCCTTTTCCCATGTAAAATTCACTGCAGCCATGCCAAACTTCCAGGGGTCCTTCAAATGCAGTGTGCATTTTACAACTCCATATTTACCTTCATTTGTTAGTCTGCTTCCTCCCTGCCAACTAGTCTTACAAAATACGGCTTTGGTATATTACTTATCCCTCCCAATAACCTTTGTTGAACCATCACTAAGTCCAGTCACATTTGTAGTTAACTACCTCTGAATCCCACAGCATAGGTGGATCACAGTGCACTTCATTCCAGTGTGCCTGGCAAGTGTCCTCCACCAGACTGAAAGATTAAAATAGTTGTACTTCTACTGCCTACTCAGCAAGGGTAGCTATTTGATCAAAACACACACGCGCATACATGCACACATACACACACATTTTAAATTAAAACAGCAACAGAAATTACACAGGCCTAAACTTCAGTCTGACTCCTACAACCATTGACTTCAAAGCCATAAGCCTTAGTAAAGAAATAACAGAAATGCTGCCCACCTTGCAGCCCTCAAGGCCATGATCTGAGGCCGTAGTAGGATAGGAGCTCTCTTGTTCAGACATGTAAGTCAACCTACTCACACTAGCTTGTGGACACACCAATTGAGACGACTCACTCTCACAGGGGGGCTTCTGATGAGCTGCTGAACCAAAAGACTCTAAAGCACACCTGAAAGGGAGAACATCTTGTTGATTAGTTTTCCATTCCTTTATCTAACATTATCTACACTAACAAAAAGCCATTTCTGCTTGCCTACAAGCTTGTTAATCTATAGTCTCTGCTCTAGCTGCCATATATGGTAACTCAACCATGGACTTTTAATCTAAAATTGTAAATCATATTCCCATTGAATAAAGCACCTGGTAAACTATTGTAAAAAAAAAAAAAAAACTGTGGCATTTTCATTAATAAATTTCATATATAGTTGCATAACAATGTTAGGTATTCATTTGATAAACATTTATCGAATACCTGATATAAAGCAATGAACCAAGCATTCAAAAGTTCCTGCCCTCAAAGAGCACAGATGAAAAAAAAGAATCATGTACGTAAGTTCAAAGAAATGGGATCAGTCATACACTGCTGAGTGGAATAAGATGTGGGACGACTTTTGACTAAGCGATTAAGCAATGCATACCAAAACACTTTGACTCAAACATTCTACATCTAGGAATTAATCCTAAGGAAAAAAAAAAAATCAATGCTAATTATAAAGACTCTGCCAAAAGGATATATCTTGAACACATAAAGAGAAATTAGGCTATGGAAATTATGGCACAAACATACAATAAAACACTACTCAGGTACTTTAAATCATACTGTTAAGTACTATCCTTTGACTCAGAAAGATGTTCATGACATTAAAGAAAAAAGATTAGAAAGCAATAAATATAGTAAGATTCCACATCTACCTAATACACACGCCATGTTGTTGGCCAATACCCATCCCAGGGCCAGCCCAGCCCGACATAAGGAGAGAAAAAAGGAAGCACCGCCCAAAGAGAATGGCAAAGTCATACCGGACAGGAACAGCTGCTGTCCTACTGCATGCACACTGTGCCATTTCATTTCAGTTAGCTCTTATTTGATTGAATTTTACCCCATCCCTTTTTTTTGCACAAAGTTCTGAATACTAAGCTGGGCAACAAACACAGAGAAAATCCCATTTTTAATTTCGGATTTTTAAAAAGCCCCAAATCAAGACAGTGGTATTGACAAAAAACTATAGTTAGTGTATTTCTAACCAGTGGAGACAGAATATTAACCAAATTGCTTCAGGCCTATTTTAGCTTCTGCATGACATGCACCCACATGGGTTCCTATATGCATGCACATACTTACACACACACACACACATACACACAGAGATACCATAATACAACATGAAAAAAGTTCTGGGTTACTGGGGTGATGCGCTGTTATTAGTCTAGTTCCTTTTTTTTTTTAAACGATATTTATTTATTTATTTATTTATTTGAGAGAGCGAGAGAGAGAACAAGTGAGAGCACAAGAGAGAGAGCAAAAGCAGGGAGGAGGGGCAGAGCAAGAGGGAGAAGCAGACTCCCTGCTCAGCAGGGAGCCTGATGTGGAGCTCCATCCCAGGACCCTGAGATCATGATGAGATCATGACCTGAGCCGATGGCAGATACTTAACTGACTAAGCCACCCAGGCATCCCTAGTCTAGTTTTGATTGAAAGGAACAATGCATTTGGGTGTATTACCCCAAATAATGAGACGTGAACTGTAAGAACACTGGGAAATAGGAATGCCTGAGTGGCTCAGTCAGTTAAGTGTCCCAACTCTTGATTTAGGCTAAGGTCAGGATCTCAGGGTTGTGAGATCGAGCCCCGTGTTGGGCTCTGTGCCGGGTGTGGAGCCTGCTTAAGATTCTTTCCCTCTCCCTCTACTCCTCCTCCGCTAAAAAAAAAAATGAACACGTGGAAATAAAGAAATTTTAGTTGAGATGTCAAACTTCAAAGGAATCCCAAAACTGCCAAGGTGCCAGCCACACAGAGATACAAAGGCGGTTATGGGACTAGAAGGTCTAAATCAGCTCTATGGACCTGCTGGAAACAAGCTAGAAGACTAGCTAAGAGGAATGCTAATGAGTAGCAAAACTTATCAGATAAAGTACATGCACCAAAAAAATGTTGCCGCTGAAAAGATGAAAATTCTGGCCAACAGTATACCGTAAATATTAAAAAAACAAACAAACAAAACTTAGGGGTATCTGGGCGGCTCAGCCTGTTAAGCATCTGCCTTCAGCTCAGGTCATGATCCCAAAGTCCTGGGATTGAGCCCCACATCAGGCTCCCTGCTCAGTGGGGAGTCTGCTTCTCTCTCTCCATCTGCCCCACCCCCGACTCATGCACTCATGCTCTCTCTCTCAAATAGTCTTAAAAAAAAAAAAATGCAATACAAGTTGGTAGAAACCAGAGAAAAAGAATAAAAATATCACACTCAAAAAAAAAAAAAAATCACACTCATTTTACCATAATAAAGAAGTACAAGGAGAACTTCAATAAAAATAAATGAACATAAAATCAAAGTCAATGTTGGCAGCAATAAAAAGCCTAATTGATGCTACAGAAAATCAGTGATGCAGAAGATAAACACTTGAGCCACTACCCCACAATACAGAGTAAATGTAAAAAGAAATGAAAATTAGGGAAAAGAAAACAGTCATAAATGACCAGAGAATGGAGTGTCAACTAATGGGAAACCAGGGTTCTCAAAAGGAAGAGAGAATAGATGGAACACAGTCAACAATCAAAGGTAACAGAAAACAAAACTTCCTCGGTTGAAGAAATAACTGTGTATACAGAGTTTATCATAATCCAGGAAAACCAACTAAGAAACTGACACAGGCATTTGAAGCTGACGAGGGAAAAAGGAGAGAAAGCTGTAGTAGGAACCTAAAACAGAGCTGGAAATGAGGCTTAGATGAAAATGCATATTGTGCAACAGGAAAACAGACACACAGCATGACCACAGTCACACAACGGAGTGCTACACAGCAACAAGCACGAGGAGCTACTGCTACAGGCAACCACAGGATGAATCTCAGAAACACGTTAAAGCATTGTAAGTTAGACACAGAAATATGTGTGATTCTGTGCATATGAAATGCAGTAACAGACAAAACTAAACTATGATGATACAAATCAGAAAGTGGTGGCAGGGCGGGAGTGGGGAAGGAGGAGGAGAACTGACTTGAAAAAGGCAAAGGATTGTTAATGGAGGGACGTATATGTTCTATATATTTTAGGTGGTGGTGTTTCCATAGGTGTATGTAAGTGTCAGAAACCCACTAAATGAAACCCCGTGTATTTTACTGTATGTTAATTATACATCAGTAAAAATAAAATACAACAATGCATACTGTGAAATCCTAAAACTGGGTTAGGAGTGGGCCAAAAATCTGACAGTGAGCACACTAGTAGGCTAAACCACACCCCCAAATGATTCATGGATTAATCTACATACCAGAGACTGATCTCAATTCGTATTTGCTTTGGTGGCTAGGGCAGCAAAACACGTGTGCTGAGTAACTCAGCAACACTGCATCACTCTCATTTCATCTTCCCCTGCGATTTTAATTCAGGGCACACTTACCCTCTTCTAAATTAGCCTTTTCTCATTAAGTCCTGTTGTTTTGCCCCACACTAAGAAGCGGGGTTGCAGGTGCCTGGCTAGCTTATGCATGTGGAGTAAGCTTACCGATTCCACGGTCACTTTAGAAAGGTTAAATATGACACCCTCATTCAAAATATCTGAACATATACCAAGTTCATGAGAAACTTTAGTATCCCCCTAAGGTCTATTTCCTATACATAACAGATTAAGTATATTTTCTTAGAAGGACAAAAAAAAAATCAGGTGGGTCCAAGAGTGAGACCAGCCAGCCAGCATTCTCTCTGACCAAGGGCAATGTGACGGAAAAAATAATAATGTAAGGCTTTATATAAGAGTACTTATATTTTTATTAAATGCCTTCATATACAATTAAAAAATATCAAAACCACAGAAAACAAGATGAAACTGGAAAGTACACAGGGGGAAAGAGACATTGCAGAAAACACTGTAAGGAATGCAGAGATAAAAAATGTGAAATGCAAATAAGATGAAACAGAAATTAAGAAAGAGGCAGATCATTGCAGTGATGGTCAAATTCTGTATCTCTGATTGTGGTGGTGGTTACATGAATTCACACCTGTGATAAAATGACACTGAATTCTACCCACACATTCACTGTTCCCATGACAAGTTTCTGGTGATGACACCATGCTAAAATTATGAGAGATGTAACCACTAGGGGAAACTGGGTGGTACCTTTGTGATCTATAATTTTTCCAAAATAGTAAGTTCTTAAAGGATTAAAGAGAAAATAAATGTAGACGTCAAGCAAAATGGATCCCACATATGCATCACTAGAGTTCTGGGGGCAGTAAAGGGCTGTGGCAAATTTTCCTTAAATAAATAAATGCCTGAATTCACATACTGAAGGGTATACTGTATGATGCGACAAAATAACCATGAAGAGTCAACACAGAGATATAGCCTAATAAAATTAAACTAGACTTGAAAGAGAGCATCTTCGGCATAAGCTTACAAAAAGATCAAGTCAGTTCTGAGGCAGAAAGAATTGGGGTGCCTCAGATTTCCCTCCTTCATTCCACAGAGACAGTAAAGCAATCCCTACAGAAGACTTAAGGGAGGAAAGCATAAGCCAAAGATTTTAAACAAAGCCACGCTATGCTTTCATTACAAAAGCCACAGGTTAACTGTGGAACATGAGCCTAGCGAGTAATGTTCCCTCTGTCCTCTGAGCAAACTACCATAGGACATACTTCAGTCAGTCGAGAGAGAGGAAACACCTGATGGCTAGAAAAGAATATATTTATCATGGAACACTACATCAAAAACTAATGATGTAATGTATGGTGACTAACATAGCATAGTAAAATAAAAAATAAAAAATAAGAATATATTTAACTAAAGAATAAAAACTAAACAAGTATAGGATAGGATGAATCAAAATGCAAATGAAATGCCAATGCAGAAATTACGTAACTAAAAAAGAAAAAAGTAGAAAGGGAAAGAACATGAGAATAAGCTCTCACTGGTGATAGACACTATTATGGGTTGAGCTGTGTTTCCAAAAAAACATATGTTAAAGTATTAACCCCCAATACTTCAGAATGTGACCTTATTTGGAAATGGGGTCACTGCAGATGTAATTAGTTAAAATAAGGTCATAGTGGAATAGGCTGGACCCTTAATCCAATGTGAATGCAGAGGCAGAGATTAGAATAATTCATCTGCAAACCGATGGACGCCTACGACTACCAGAAGCTGGAAGAGGTAAGGAAGAATCCTCCCCTAAAAGCCTCAGTTTAAAGATTTTTTTATTTGTAAGTAATCTCTACACCTAACAAGGGGCTGGAACTCACAATCCCAAGATCAAGAGTTACATGCTCTACCAACTGAGCCAGCCTTGCACCCCCTCCCCAAAAAAGCTTCAGAGAGAACATGGCCCTGAACTTCTAGCCTACAGAGTATGAGGCAATACCTTTCTGTTGTTTTAAGCCACCCAGTTTGTGACACTTTGTTATGGAAGGCATGGGAAACTAACACAGTTGGGACTCAACATCATTTAAAAGCTGGCAAAACAAGTGTCAGAAGCAGAAGCATATTTAACGGTACAAAGATAAACATTCAGATGACTTTACAGACAAATATTAGAGGGGAGATAAAGGAGAAAAATCAGTAGATGACATCCATCCTGACAAGTCAAGGCCAGATGACCTTCAAATTTGGTAGAGGTGGATGACTTCTAACGTTTTATAAACATGAGCCGTTAAATAAGAGGTGGCTGTGTATATGAAAAAGTGTTTCAAGACAAGGTATCAAAGAGTCACTGAAACAGGAAAGAATTTAAGCCTCTACTAATTGTTAACTCTAGCTTACCCATACCATTTCAGATGAATATGCAAAACTCCAATGGCAGCCAGGGAAATACCTAATAGATAACTTTGAAATCAGATATAATTTCAACCTGTTTCAAAATATTGAACATTTTTAATAATTTTACTGTATAGGTAAGTTTTTCTGTTTATTAAAATCTTTCAATAGAGAAACATATAAAAGATACTTTATACAGCCATAAAAGGGGCAACTAGGTAGCTCAGTCAGTTAGATGTCCAACTCTTGATTTCGGCTCAGGTCATGATCTCAGGGTTGTGAGACTGAGCCCCAAATCAGGCTCTGCACCAGATGTGGAGCCTGCTTAAGATTCTCTCTCCCTCCCTGCTTTCTTAAAAAAAAAAAAAAAGCCATAAAAGACAAAATTTGTAAATTTAATAATAAACTTTTTGTATGGCAAAAAAATACAAGCAAAGTAAAAAGAAAAAAAATGCTTCTATAGACTAGAATATATAACTCATATCACAAAGGGCTATTCATTCTGCCTAATACATCAAGGGCTCCTAGAAATGGAGACAAAAAAGACTAAAAATCCATGAGAAAAATGTGCAACAAATATGAATAGATATTTCATAGTGAAGGAAATACAAATATAGAGGAAAAGATGCTCATTATCACTCCTAAAAAATATGAATTAAAGTTATACTGAGATACTATTTCTTTCACCTATCAAAATGTCAACCATCAAAAAGTTTTATAAACATTCTGTTGATGAGGCTGTGGGAAAACAGGCTCTCTCTTAAATTGTTGGTGGGATAATTAAACCAGTACAACCTCTATGACATGGTTGTACTAATTTAAATAGGTACATGAATGCAAATACTCTGATCCAAAAATCTCCATTTCTGGGAACTTATCCTATAGATCTATTTCACATGACCAAAGTGACTATAATACAAATGAAGCTGTAATAAGTAACTTTATATAGCAAAATATAAGTAAGTGCGTAAAGGACTCTATATTGAGTATAAAAAGGAATGACAGTAAGAATATATATTCATATTTGGTTATGCATGAAGAAACTCTAGAATACCTAAGAAACTAATAACAGCAGTTCCCTGGTGAGGGGATTGGGGAACTAGGCAGAAAAGGAACACGGTAATGTAGGGAAATACACACATGCACATGAGTGCATATACACATATATACATATGTATACATTTCAAATATACACATATATACATTTATAAATACACATATAAACATTTCATAAAGCAGTAAGTTTACACTGTTCAAAAGTTATACACACACATATATCTATATGCGTACTTTTTGAATAATGCAAATTATGGCATTTTTGAAAAATTACATTTTAAAAAGTTCTTATAACTTGAGTTAAAACCTATGAAGTATTAGGATTCTTCTAACCCTTGAAAAAGTATTTACCAATCTCATTAGCATTAAAAAATCAAATTAATACAAGATAAAAAATATCCAACCTTTAAGCGATTTAAAATATTGATAAGAAAACAGTGAGATGGATACTCTCATCATACACTGATGGTAAGAATGCAAGTCTTTAAGACCTATTTAGAAAATAATTTGCTAATAATTTCCTGAGTTGGGAATTTCACTTCTACTTATCTATCCTTAGGAAACAGTCAAACACGGAAAAAAATTTTATGGGCAAAGCTGTTCATCTCAGTATCATTAAAATGGCAAAACAAAAAATAAAATGACAAAATATAGTAAAATATAGTATCTCCCATTATCCACCAAAGGCATCAAATAATCCGTGGCTGATTCACTGTGCAGACTAATTTTCTCTTAAATACAAAGAATCATTATAATAAGTGAGAACAAAGTATAAAAACTTGCACAGAAAAATGGTCTGAAACAAATTCACAAAATATATACAATGGTTACCTTTGAGAAATGAACCCATAAATATTTTTCTTTACACTTTTTCCAATATTCTTCTACTGAACACGTATTTTTATTATTAAAGAAAAAAAAAAAAAAAGTAAGCACCTACCCTGATAAACTTGTTCCAGAAATTTCACTAGGAGAAGAATGACTCAGTGGAGAAGAGGAAGGTCTGAAGCTATCCTGGTCATCCTCTGACCCATGTCCACCACGCTCAGGAGAGTGATTTTTCAAATCTATCAGAAAGGTGTTATTTTTCAATGAGAACAACAACAAAAATCACTTGTAATTTTGTGAATGTGACCAATTACTTCAACACTTACCAACATTTTTAGGCGTAATTATGGAATGTTTTCCAAAAGTCACATGTTTTTCACCATTGCTTGCTTCACTAACACACTCATTTTGCCTCTGATTTTCTCTATTATTTGTTATTTCCTCACATTCTCCTGACAGCCAAACAGATGCTATCCTGGGGTTCCTTACTAATGAATAACTATTAGATGTTACTGAGGTGGCTGTTTTGCAGTTACCAATATCTGGTAATTTGTTGTCAAGAGGATATGTCTTCACATCAACTATTGTACTTTCATTCTCTTTTCTATTTATAAGAATTGAATTTGGACAGTTTGTTCTAAATGATTCTTGATTCTTGCTCTCTCCATTTTCACCATAAAAAGTAAATGCTGTATTTTCTTCTGGTTCCTTTATACTTATATCAGCAGCACCTAAGTCCACTGTATGGATGTCTCGTGTAAACTGTTCTTTTGGCAAAGATAAATCCCACCGATCAGATGTACCAGCTCTTGAAAAGTTTTCCAGTCCACCTTCATATCTACTGACTTCTGTTTTTTTAAGGTATTTCTCCATATCAAACATGCTGGATCCATTACTTTTTTCTGTATCATTAGGCAAGAAATGAGGCACAGTGGAATAGTCCTTTTGTTTATTATCTTCCTGAAAAGTCTTCTCTCTGGTTTTATTTGAAAGTGCCTTGATCATGGCAGCAAGTTGGGAAGGATCAGTACTTACTGATGCATCTGCAATGGCTGAAGCAATGGTGCTTATCCTAAGTACAGAATCACCATCAATGGGTGGCTTGCTTTTGTATCTTCGGGGTTTGCTACTCATGAAGAAACTGTCCTAGAAAGGAGAAAATTCACATCATAAATTTATCTCAGTTTCATGGACATGTACATATTAGTTTAATCTTTAGATGTTACATAAAATTTAACAGCAGCTAGAAATTAATGGTATACCAATTAAATACCCTAATTTTAAAAAAGACAGTTGTTATCAACTTTAATTACAGAGTACTGGGTTACTCACAAAATTGGATTATCAATTATTTTTTAAAAAATCTTCAGGAGTTAAAGAGATGCTAAGGAGGTGTTAAAACTGAACCAGACAATAATTTAAAATAAAACATTAAGATACTGGGATCGAGAAACCAATGAGCCACTGTGATTCCAAATATAATCCTTGGTAATTTCATTCAATTGTTAGAAATGAGGAACACCAGCAGTCTCAGATCACTTTGATCCAGGTACTGGGATTGAGCTGATTGGAGCTGGCCCTCAGTCCTTATGAGGGCCAGCCTAATTTTGGTTTGCCTTTTATCCTAGGGTGTGTAACCCTTTGTGGTCTCATCCTAAAGCACGATTCTTTACCACGGCTTCTCCCTACCTCTCATCATTGGTAGGCACTGAACTCTGTTTTTATACCCTCACTCCCATAAGAACACCTTTGCTGAGTTTCTTCTTAAAATCTTATCCACAGCATCTTCTTGAAGCAACAGATCCCCACAGGGAAGAGCACTCTCAGTACTGGGATTCTTTCTTCTCTTGGATTTTGGCCCAATAGTTTTTTGCTCCTTTTTTAGCTCTCCAGTACCTTCTAAAAGATGCTTCTGGATATGTTATCCAGTTCTAACTGTTGTCAGCCAGAGTTGGTTTGCATTGCTTAGTCTGCTATTACTTGGAGACCGAAGTCTTAACTTGCATTTTTAAATATTAAATAGGTTTATGTTTCTTTGCTGTTGGTTCCATTTCAGTTGTTTACCCATGATTCCTATTTATGTCTTGCTGGTGTTCCTCATTCATGTCAGAAGCAAACATAAATCCTGTCTGGAAGATTAAATCTCCCATGGCCTCAAATTATTTCAGTGACATTTCCTGTAAAAGGTTAAAAGCAAAATAGAAAAAGATGTAACATGGAAACACTCAATAAACAATAAAGAAAGAAAGCTGGTGTTACCTATGTTAATATCAGACTAGACTTAAGGCATAAAGCGCTTTATCTGCAAACAAAGGCAGTCATACACAATGACAGAAGGTCTGATTCACCAGAGAGAACAATTCTAATTTGTATGTACCTAAAAACACAGCTTCAAAATTTTTAAAGCAAATACTGCCAGACTCACAGTGAATAACAGAAACATCCATAATCATAGTGTGAGATTTTAATATCTAAGTAACTGAAAGAACAAGTACAATAATTTTAAGGATACAGTTTCATTACTATGATTTAATAAAATTTACCTAAATAAAATATACAGAAGAGAGCAACCAAAGATCACACCACAGACATTCCCATTATGTGCACAGAAAATATTTTCAAAAATGGAACAAATGCTGAGCCATATATCATGTTTCAGCAAATTTCAAAGGCCTAGACTCAATATTTTAAAATCTGGAAAACCCCTAAATGTTTGGAAATTGGGCAATACACTTGCAAAACACAACAGACCAGAGAAATTAGAACATACATTAAATGGAATAATAAAGACAGTATGATGTATCAAAAAATATCTGATGTAAAAAATAGTACGGATGCAACAAAATTCCTGCTTTCAGGAAAATTTACACCATTAGATGTTTATGTAAGGAAAGCAGAAAGGAAGAAAAATTAAACATTTATCTCCAGAAGTTAGAAAAACAACAAGTTAAATCCCCAGAAAATTTAAGGAAGGAAATAAAGACCAAAAAATCTGAATAGAAAACAGAGAATAAAATTAATGAATTAATAAAATTGAGAAGTACCTGGTAAGAATGACTAAGAGAAAAGAGAGGGAAAAGAGCCAATATATAACAAAGAAGACATTCCTTAAGAACCTAAAATATTAAACAATCACAAGAGGATATTATGGTCAATATTTGTCAATTTATATGGAGTGATATATTTTCAAGTTTAGATGAAAGGTTCTAATTCCTAGGAAACTACAATTTACTAAAACTGACACAAGTTTTAAAGATCAGAATAGTCCTGTAACTTTTATTTATTTTTTTAATTTAATTTTTTTTTTTTAAAGATTTTATTTATTTATTTGACAGAGAAAGAGATAGCGAGAGCAGGAACACAAGCAGGGGGAGTGGGAGAGGGAGAAGCAG